CTACATTGACATTTCCAGTGAAAAATTTGTAACATTATTAATTAACATTTATTGTTTTTGTTCCAGGTACTGTACTAAGCACTTTTTTTTTTTTCCTTTGAGATGAAGTCTTACTCTATTGTCCAGGCTGGAGTGCAATGGTGTGGTCTCAGCTCACTGCAACCTCCAGTTCCTCAGTTCAAGTGATTCTCCTGCCTCAGCCTCCCAAGTAGCTGGGATTACAGGCACCTGCCACCACGCCCAGCTAATTTTTATATTTTTAGTAGAGATAGGGTTTTACTATGCTGGCCAGGCGGGTCTGGAACTCCTGACCTCAGGTGATCCACCCACCTTGGCCTCCCCAAGTGGTGGGATTACAGGTGGGAGTCACTGCACCCAGCCCACTTTATCTTTTTATAAATGAAACAGATACAGCAAACTAATCAAACATATATTGCTAAATGAGTCATTTTAATGTGGATACTACCCTTGTCTAGAAATACTTCATTAGTCACTTTTTCCTTCCTAACAAAACCAACCATTATTTTGACTTTAAATAGTAATCACGTCCTCAGGGTCTTTGCAGAGCTTTGTCACTCAAATGTGCATTCTTGAACACTAGTTTTTCATCTTGTTCATTTAAAAATTGGCTATTTCTTGAATCTCCTAATCTATTGGTCCCTCCTTCATCTATTTCCTGACAGTTCTGCTTTAAAGGATCTGGGCACTTTGACCTGACAAGCTTCCCACAGTCTGAATTTTGCACATTACATACTCATGATGCAATTCAACATGTATTCTGTTATTTCCTGTCAATAGGTAGCTAGATCCAGGAGACTGAATCAGACGCAGGATTGATTTCTTTGGCACATCTATAGCTAATGTTTGACTATCCTTGCAATCTTAGTAGCTACTGATGTTTAATGTCCATCCATTTATTAGGAACTGTAAAATTATTCTGTCACTTTTTTATTGAATACTGATTAGTTAGAATACTATTACAAAGAGATACGTCCCCTCATTTATTTGGTTATTCAGTGGTATAGTTCATACAAGGAAGGCAGAATAAATGCTTATTTCATGTTTCTAGTTTTCAAGAAAATGAATTTATTTCCTATCATCCTCTTAAAGCAAGCAATTTTAAAAATATCATTAAGAACTTCGACATACTTAGTATATTCCAATCTAGTGCTCATTGTTGAAGCTGAAATTGTTCCATCTTTGGCCAGTGGGAATCTCTCTTTGTGATGGCTTCTGAGTCCTTTTGACACGATGCCTATACTCTTTGATATGTTCCTTGCTATCTTATATGACAAGACGTTCCAGGCTCATCTTGAACATTTCCTGCCCAGACCTGGAATCAGCCATTTCTCCATAGAGCCCAGTTTTTTCTTTTTTAAAGTAATAAATGGCATTTTAAGATCAAAAAAATAGGTATTAGGGATACTTATTGTTTACAGGCCTTTCAGTGGACAGAGCAAGGAAACATATATGTATATTTAAAGATATCTCAAGTTTATACTGATACTTCAAATTCAAAACTATAAAAGCTTTTAATTAGCCTCTGTAACAACTGCAATATCTTTTTTCCATACTAAGAATCCTGATTCACAAGGACACAGGATAAAATTAGAATATCCCATAATTACCCATTTACTTTAGCCCACATTACACAGTCTCAGAATAACATTTATCTAAATAAAAGAACCTGATGTGACTGAGAGCATGAAAGATGCTCTGCCCATCTTTGTCCATATTCACTCAATTCTACCGTTTAAAAAAAAATAACTACATCTACACCCTCCAAACATAAGGCTATCACATAGTATAGTCTCAACTTCTTAGCCCTCATTTGTCTTACTTCTACCGGTAACTATGTATTTAATCACGTTCTTATGTCTCTAACATCTCTAATTGGTCTGTCTCTAATTGTTCTGGTAGCCTAAAACTCTAAGCTCATTCTCTAGTCTACTGTTGTCCAACACAAGTTTTTGTGATGGTAGAAATATTCTATATGTGTTGTCCAATACAGTAGCTACTAGCCACATGTGGCTTTGAGCACTTGGCATGTGGCTAATGCAACTGAGGAAATAAAGGTTTACTTTATTTAACTATAACTAATTTCCATAGGTGGCTAGTGGTTACCCTGCTTGACAGTACAGCTCTCAGAGATTCATCAGAAGGGCTCATGGGAATAATAATATTGGGTTCTTACCTGTTGCCCTTTGTGCTTGAAAATCAGTTTGATTGGATACAAAATTATTGGTTCACATAGTCTTTCCCTGGGTATCTTAAATGTTATTCTATTTTCTTCTAGAATAAAGCAATACTGTCAAAGTTTGATGATTATCATTATATTTCTCTTATATGCCATAAACTTACTTAGATACTCAGGACTTTTTAAGTCGAGTAATTTTATTAGAATATTCTGCTGTTCATTTTTCTGGGTCAATATTCTCAGGTATTCAGGGTGCTGTTTCAAGTATGTACTTTTAAAACTTTTTAAACTTGATATGGTTTGGCTTTGTTTCCCCACCCAAATGTCATCCTGAACTGTAAACTGTGTTGTAATCTCCTGGATTATGGAAGTGGTTTTCGCTATGCTGTTCTTGTGATAGTGAGTAAATTCTCACGAGATCTGATAGTTTTATAAATGGCCTTTTCCCCTGCACTTTCTCTGTCCTGGTGCCTTGTGAAGAACGTGTCTGCTTCCCCTTCATCTTCTGCCATGATTGCAAGTTTCCTGAGGCTTCCTCAGCCATGCAGAACTGAGTCAATTAAACTTCTTCCCTTTATAAATTATCCAGTCTCAGGCATTTCTTTATAGCAGTGTGAAAACAAACTAATACAAAACTTCAGCAAAGTTTTCTAAATTATAGCTTTTAGCATTTTTGTTCCCTTACTTTGGTTTTCTTTTTCAGGGACTTCTATCTATGTTTGCTCTTATTTGCCTAACTTCAAATATGTTACTTTAAAATCTTTATCTCCATTTTTTTTTTCAATTTTAGATTTCCCCCTTCTTACATCTTTATCTTTTAAAAAAGTTTATGGTTGGACGTGGTGGCTCATGCCTGTAATCACAGCACTTTGGGAGGCTAAGGTGGGTGGATCACTTAAGCCCAGGAGTTCAAGACCAGGTTGGGCAACATGACAAGACCCTGTCTCTACAAAAACACAATAATTAGCCGAGTGTGGTAGTGTGTGCCTATAGTCCCAGCTACTGGGGGACTGAGGGAGGAGGATAGTTTGACCTCTGGAGATCCAGGCTGCAGTGAGCCATGATCATGCCACTGCACTCTCAAGTCTTAGTGACACAGAAAAACCCTGTCTCAAAAAAAAAAAAAAAAAAAGCCTATAGCACTCTTATTTCTCTTAAAGCATTATCTGCTGCACATACAGAGTGAGTATTCCTAATTTGGAAATCTGAAATTCAAACTGCTCCAAATTCCAAAACTGAGTGCCTATATAGTACTAAAAGGAAATGCTCACTGGAGAATCTTGGATTTTCAGATTAAGGATGCTCAACAAGTATAATGCAAATATTCCAAAATCTAAAAAAAAAAAAAGAAAAAAAAAATCTTATGTTCAAAACACTTCTGGTCCCAAGCACTTTGTATAAGGAATATTCAACCTGCATTTGCTCAAGCTCATTATAGTTTAGTCTCCATTACTAAAATGACCTTCTCCCCTTTATAATTATTCCTTGAGTTTTATCACCTCGGGTGAGTTTTTCTAATTCTGATTTATGTTATTCTTAAATGCTTTGTATTATTAGTATCTTTAGCTCATTTTGAAATAGTTTGTCATGGTTTTTAGTTTGTTTAGTCCTGCTTAGTGTTTCATTTCTAACATGTTTTCACATGTAGAGATATTACTCTGCTTTTTATTCGCTAATATATATTTGCGCAGCATTTGACCTTAATCCTTTTGTTCTTTTTCTAGACCTGCTCTTTTCTCTATCCTGATCAATTCAGATTCCATTCTTAGCAGTTTCTTCCCAGTGAGGAATACTATCCTAAAAGGGAGCTCTCGCAGGTCAATTTTGAAGAGTTAGAGGTTAAACTGTTTCAAGCCCTTTAAGTCCTCTACTATGTGCCCCATGCACTCACCTAGTATTAGAGAAACCAAATCCCTTCCCAGTTTTGGCTGCTGCTTCCAAATTGTCTGCCCCACTTTTCAGTGCATTCTTATTCACTGGAATTCTCAGGTACATAAGACAACATCCTCAATGCTTCTAGGTTCTTACTCTCTCACAGACCCTGACAGCATGCAAGTCTAGTGACTGGTGGTTTGTGCCTACCTGCTTAAATTCTAGGGTTCATGGGGATACCTTGTCACTTAGTTTTGTTGTAGGTGTCATGGGTTTTGACTTCACTATTTCCATTTTTATTTGGAGATTCAGATTGAAAAGATAATGCTGTTGTGACACCACCTTCCTAGAATTCTACTGAAAATTTAAAATGTCATTAACTCATTGAAAGTCCACAACCACTTCATGAATTGGTACTATCAGTACCCCCAAGCCATAGATAAAAAGCTTTAATAGTTTGTACAAAATTATAGAATCAGTAAGTTGTAAAATCAGGATTCTAACCCAGATCCTTTAAATTCTAGAGCCTATATCTTTTATTATTATATTTACAGGACAATTATTCATTACAAAGGAATGTGTTTTACAGAATTCCTGCAAAGTTTGCTATAAAGTGAGAAACATTTCTATCTTAGTTCTTATATGATAAAACTTAACTAATGGTTTGAAAAACTAGTACAAGTCCCCTAATTCAGCAGGTAGCAAAATGATAGGTATAAAATCTTACCAGAGCAAAATTTGCAATAAACTTAAATCCCTGACTCTCAAATCTCATGGAATCCTCAATGGCAGAACATACTTTATTAAGTAGGTTAAATAAATTTAATTCTGGAAATTAAAACTAATGATATCTAATTACTAGAATAGCTGGAGGTGCATGATCACGAATAGGAAAAGAGGCTTCCAAAGTAAGCAACCGCTAATAACCTACCTGGCCTGTCTTGTGTAGGTGGAGATACAAATAGAGGCTGTATAGCATTCTGTGAGGAAACCGAAGTAGTAATACTAGCTTGATTAACTGCCGCACAGTTAGATAAGACTGGAGCCGGGACATTATTGGCACAGGAAGCTGCAACTGGTACAAAATTTCCCATCACCTGTAAGTGTGGAAGAAAGTTCAAAACTCTAAGTTTGGTTTCTCAAACAACAGTAGTTCGTTATCTGATCCTAAACTTCAGAAAATAGTAATTAGTTTTGACAACTGAAAACACTGAAAATCCATCTTCATGTAAACCTTACACAGGAACATTATTTCTTTCAGGAGATCACAGGTTACTTGAGAGCGTGAGGGCTTTAATTTTTTAATTCATTTATTTCTAAAAAAAAGTAATACATTAATATGACTTGAAAATCAAGTATTAAATCGTATGCAATGGAAAGTTGCCCTCCAAGCCCTGTCCTCCATCTGCCTAGTTGCCAGCTGCCCAAACAGTTAACCTCTGGGCTTCCTGCATATTATTCCAGAGATTCGTAATATATATTCATAATATATATTCATTTTTACATGCATATATATGGCCCCCACACAAGATAAAACCTTTTTTTTTTGAGACAGGGTCTCACTCCCATTGCCCAGGCTGGAGTGCAGTGGCATGATTTCAGTTCACTGTAGCCTCAACTTTCCAGGCTCAGATGATACTCCCATCTCAGCCTCCTGAGTAGCTGAGACTACAGTCATGCACCACCACGCCCAGCAAGTTTTTTATATTTTTAGTAGAGACAGAGTTTTGTCACATTTTCAAGGCTGGTCTTGAAACCCTCGGCTCAAGCAATCTGCCCGCCTTAGCCTCCCACCAAAGTGTTGGGATTATAGGCATGAGCCACCACATCTGGCCTACACTTTTTTAAAGAGAAAGGGTGCCTTGCATTTTTTTATTACATTATAAAACTGCAATTTTTTTTTTTCTGCTTAGGCCACAGCTACTCAAGAGAATAAACTATTTTTTCACAACATCCTGTGCAGGGATCTGCATAGAAAGATATTCAATAAATGGTAAGAGACTCTTCTTAAACACACTGTCCTCACTGGCAGTCTCCATTTTCTTAACACCCAACTGCAGTGTGGCTGCTACCCACACTGGTTCTCTGAAACTGTATTCAAAGTCACCAGTGGTCTCTACGGCAACAAACCTTAGTAGACTTTTGTTAATCCTTAAGTTGCTTGACCTCTTGGCAGCAACTGACACTGGGCTTCTCCTTGAACCATTCTCTTCCTAGGGATTCCATAATATTCCTCTCTCATGTTTTTACTCCCTCCTTGGCTGTTCCCTCTCTACCCATTTTCTAAAATTTGATAATCCACAGGCTTTTTCTAGATGCCCTTCTCAATCTCTTCCTTTGCTCAGAATGATCTTGTTTACTTGTATGGTTTCAGCTACCTTTTTAATGCTGATTCTCCATTCTATAGGAAAGCTTTAAAATTAAGTTTCAGTTAATGAGACAGAATTGACAGGTAATTTATATTAACTCACTCTTTATGTAAAAGTGGCTCACAGTAGACTAAGAGTAATCTAAAGCCAGCACATAGAACAGTGTCTGGAACACAGTAGATGCTCAATAATTTGTTGAATGAATTTACTAATCACTGTATCAGACACCAGAAGGTACAATAATACTTAAAGGAACAAAAGCAGTTGCTTTGAAGTATGATGAAGGTAAATGAAAAGAGAAATTTTTTCTCTATTCAAGCCATTGTAACTGCTTAATAACACTATTAAGATTACCTTCTGGGGGTAGTTGTATGAGGCAACTGTGTCCTGAGGAGACATAGAACATGATTTTCTGTCCTGAAGAGACTTTAATAAATACAAAAATACAGTTAAATAAAAAAACAACCAACACGTCAATAAGAAATATGCTCTGTTTCAACATATTTTAAAACTAAATGAAAGTGATCAGTACTGAAATAATTCAAATTTGGAAGTAACTCCTAAGACAAAGCTCTAAAAGTTATCATTCTAAAATGTGATTTAGGGGACTGCTTTGTTACCTATCTACAGAAATCCTCAACACATCTAACTCAAGTCCTAAATGTAGATACTAAAACGTAACTGATAATTGAAATTTAAACACTTTTTCAGTGACCTTTGCCTTAAAACCTTCAAGTACTGTAGGACCAACAACAGTTTTGCAAAAAAAAAAAAAAAAAAAAAAAAAAAAAAAAAAAAAGGCATTCTATCTGAATATGTAGCTGGGTACAAGGGTATATTGGTTATTCAGCTACATTTTCTCTAATTGAGATTTAATAGATATTGTAATATTCAAATATCATTCTCCTCTGACTCAAGACTGTGTCTTTCTAAAAGCAAAAATGGTATTTGAATGGCTTGGACTCATGTATGATAGCTTGTCATGGCAGCAAAAACTCTAGCAGCAGAAATTGGTTGCATTGGTAAGAGCCCAGAGAGAATAGGGAAAGGTAATCACAGGAAACAACAAGAGGAACCTTACTGTGAAAAGGTGAGCCCCACTTAACATGGACAATAACAAAGCTTGTGTTCAAGTAAAGCCAAAGCCCCTGCCAAAAAGCAGACATTTTCCCTGGCTCAGAATACCAAATACTTCTAGAGAAACATTTAGTTGAGTGTTAGACATGGAAATAAGAAGTAGAAATAAATGTTCACGATTTCTTAGAAGGCTATGCCTAGAAATCTTTATTCAAAAGTCCTGCATTGGACAAAAACAAACATAAATAGATGAGACTTAATTAAACAAAAAAGCTTCTGCACAACACAGAGTAAACAGACAACTCACAGAGTGGGAGAAAAATCTTTGTGATCTAGCAATCTATACATTCAACAAAGGACTAATATCCAGAATCTACAAGGAACTGGATTCAGCAAGAAAAAAAAAATCTCCCAACAAAAAGTGAGCTATGGATATGAATAGACAATTCTAAAAGAAGATATACAAATGGCCAACAAACATGAAAAAAATGCTCAACATCACTAATTATCAAGGATATGCAAATAAAAACCAAATTGTGGTATGGCCTCACTCCTGCAAGAATGGCCATAATAAAAAATATAAAAAAATAGATGTTGGCATGGATGTGGTGAAAAGGGAAAGCTTTTATACTGTTGGTAGGAATGTAAACTAGTACAACTTTCCATAATGGAAAACAGTGTGGAGATTCCTTAAAGAACTAAAAGTAGAACTACTATTTGATCTACCAATCCCACTCCTGGGTATGTACCCAGAGGAAAAGAAGTCATTATACCAAAAAAAAAAAAAAAAAAAAAAAAAAAAAGGCCAGGCACAGTGGTTCAAGCCTGTAATCCCAGCACTTTGGGAGGCCGAGGCGGGTGGATCACAAGGTCAAGAGATCGAGACCATCCTGGTCAACATGGTGAAACCCCGTCTCTATTAAAAATACAAAAAATTAGCTGGGCATCGTGGCGCATGCCTGTAATCCCAGCTACTCAGGAGGCTGAGGCAGGAGAATTGCCTGAACCCAGGAGGCAGAGGCTGTGGTGAGCCAAGATCACACCATTGCACTCCAGCCTGGGTAACAAGAGTGAAACTCCGTCTCAAAAAAAAAAAAAAAAAAAAAAATACCAGCACATGTATGTTTATAGCACACAATTTGCAACTGCAAGAATATGGAACCAGCCCAAATGCCCAACAATCAACAAGTGTATAAAGAAAATGTGGTATATATATACCACGGAATACTACTCAGCCATACAAAGAAACAAAATAATGGCATTTGAAGCAACGTGAATGGAACTGAAGACCATTATTCTAAGTGAAGTAACTCAGGATGAAAAACTAAACACTGTATGTTCTCACTCATAAATGGAAGCTAAGCTATGAGGACACAAAGGCATAAGAATGAGACAATGGATTTTGAAGACTCAGGGGAAAGGGTTGGGGGGTGAGGGATAAAAGACTACGCATTTGGTACAGTGGTACACTGCTCAAGTGATGAGTGCACTGAAATCTCAGAAATCACAACTAAAGGACTTACTCATTGTAACCAACCACCACCTATTCTCCAAAAACCTGCTGAAATTAAAAATTTAAAAACAAGAGTTTTTTTTTAAAAAAATATACAATGATAATTCTGAAGACATTTCTCCTTTATTTTAGCAATAATAGAAATTTGCTATGGATTTGGTGATGGGGGCAGAGGGAGTGGAATATATGAAGAAACTGAAAGCTACTGGGTTTTTAAAATTCAGAACAAAAAGGAACATGTGACAAGTGAAACTGAAAGAACAGAAAAAAAGCATCTATTCTTGTCATCCCTCATGGTAAATTTCTTATTTGCCTTTTCACTTGGATGGCTACTTCAAGACGTAATATCAAAAGCACATGATATAAGAATAATAATGGTGGCAGGAAAAGGAGGAGAAAACTTTCTCTGGAAGAAGCAAAGTAAGGGAAGGAAAAAAAACAAAGAAAATTACGTATCAGAGTTTTCTTCTCCTTCCTAAGGTGTATTGCCTAAACAGTAAAAACAAAAATTTAGTATATTAAGATGTCACAGTTAATTATTACTAATTCTCTAATTAGTCATAATTAGAACATATAAGGTAGTTATTCAAGTTCTTTATAAATATTCCGGTTCTCCTGGATATATGGTAGGACTGCCCTTCCCAGCTCCATCTAAAGTCAGGAATGACCAAGTTACTTGGTCAATAAAATATGAACAGAAATGTTATGAGTCAATATCCAATCTCTGTATCTTTTGCCCTGCTGTGATGATCATGATAGTATGTGCCCATCAGCCTGGGTCCTTAAGTGACTAAGAAGAACAGTCATAGTCTGGAAGCCTGCTACCAACTTGAATTGAACCTATATAACATTAGCAAGAATAACTTTTCCCGAGTTAAGCCACTAAGATTTTGGGGCGTTGTTACAGTGCAGCATAACCTAGCTGGACTAAAACAGAAATTGGTAACTAAAAGTAGGGTACGGCTACAACAAAATCCTAATTGAGAAGGAATTATGAATGTGTAGCTCTTAGGGTAAGCAGTCTAGAAGACAGGATGTTAGTATTGTGCTTTGATTACTGTTGGTATGGTTTAAAGCAAGTTATTGTAAGACAGGTGTGTGTAAGACAGAATTAGTAGTTTGCAGGTAGGAATGAAAGGGAATAGATTCCTTGCATACAGGGACTCATAGGGTTGAAGGAACAATTGTTTCAACCCTCAACTATAAAGGGTAATATTGATGAATGCTTTGAATAACGACAACATGAAAACTTAACCTCACAGCAACTCTTTTGTTAAAAACCCTGAATGCAATAAGATGTCTCGAAGCCAGAATTCAACTAAGGGTATAACACCTAGTAAATCCTTACACTTCAACAAAATGGCTGTAGAAAAGTTTCCAAAAGGCATGGTTCTTCCATCAATGCAAGATAAACTCAAGCCACTTGCAATCAAGTAGAGAAAAATATAAAGATTAAAAACACAAAGATTTATAGTAAGTCTTAGTAATATATTTATGGAAAATAATTGTAGTATGGTTATTGGCACATGAAACCAAAATAAATCAAAAGAAGCAGAATAAATTAATCTCACAGCCAAAGAAATCATGAACCAAAACTAAAACCATTCAATTGAGATAAAACCACCCTTGGGCCTCCAATCTTCTGTAAGTAGCAAGCTTAGAAAGCTGCTCAGTTGCCAAGGAAGGATTATTCTCCAATGCCTACTTGAAATATTGCCAAGCAAGGATAGGCCTTGGGAGTAGCCAAGAGCCTTAGAAAATGAACAAGAGAACTCTTCAGGGAAGAGTCCCCATGAGTACGTTGGGGGCCCTTACAACGTCTGCCCATAAGGGTCTCAGAATGGCTACAGGACAGTAACTGTCTTTTATCCCCCATTTTCTCCCTTTCTGAGTGGGAATTTCAGTGCCTGCTTCAGCATTGTAAATTGGGAAGAGAGGTTAAAAAAAAAATCTGTATTTTTGGTTTTTGGTCTCAAGATCACAAGAAGCTACATCTGGACCCAATATAACAAATACTACACACAGTCCAGAAATCCTAGGCTATGAGTTTGATTACACTGAATGGGACCTTTTAGGATGCCTCCTTTGAGGTAGAAACTAAGTGTTCTGCCTATGAGAGAGAGGGCAAGTTGAATGATATAGTTCTCAGCAGTGTTAAAATGTTTCTAACTTTTTGCCTTTCAGGCACAGAGAAGTTAATCTCTTCAGTGGTACCCGCTCTAGCCAGTGAAATGGAAAAGAAAGTGACATGTATCATCTCTGGTGGAAGCTACAGAAGCCAGTACACCATTTACCAAATTTTATTTCCTGCCTTAGCAATCATGGACAAACTTCCATCAGCCTGAGTACCTAAGCAAGCCCTTCTATAGACCTCTACTATATTAAGGGAGAAGCAAACTTTTGTTATATTAAGTGAGATTTATGATCCATTCTAATAAAAAATCATAAAATCTTCTAAAAGATTATTGCTGTTAGAATATCTCTAAATAGATTAATTTCAGAAAATAAGTTAATTTGTCTCGATTTCTTCATCTTCAAAATGAGAATGATACTAAGCCTCACAGGGTTGTTCTGATTTAAATATATTTATATATATAGCTCTTAACAGTACCCTAGTAAATAGTAGAAGCTATAACTCTTTGCTATTATTAAATACCTACCAAGTTTGCTGTAGATGCAGTTGTGCTATAAACACCTGAAGTTTCATAGTCTGGCTCTAGAGAATATAGCCAAAGTAAAAAATGAGCATTATTTTATAGCTTGAAATTCTATAAACAATGATGAATGTCAGATCATTTATAGATCTTACTGACCTGCAGGATAAAGATCTTCTTCATGATATCCCCCTGGGAAAAAAAAGACACAAGAATTGTGTTTATATAGGTCTTTTTAGCTCAGCAGAGCCAAATGGTCAGCACTTGCTTTTTCCTCCAGTTTTATGGTTATATGCTTAAAACTAAAATGCACACATCCTGGAAAGTGATATGAGCTTTCAGACTAGTCAACAAATACTGAAGACAGGATTAGCTGTAAACTTTAAAAATCTCACCTCTGAAAATTTGCTTAGCTCTTAGAGGTCAGGCAGAGGTGAAAACTCAGTTGTGCCCAATTTTTCCAGGGAGGCTACAGTGTGGTGATTAAGCACATAGGCTCTGGAGTGAGGACTGCCTAGATGTGAACTGTGATTAACTACATGACTTTAGGTAAGTATTTAATCTCTGTGCCTCAATTCTTCACTGTAAAATGGAATAACAGTACCTAGCTCATAGGCGTTTTGGGGATGGTTAATAGAAGTGAAAATAACTTAGCATAGTGCTTTACATACACTAAATACTCAATGGCCACTATAATGTATGAGTAAAATCCACTGTTTCCTTTGGTGGACATTAAGGGAATATGTTATGCCTCATCTGTTTTTCAATCTGTTTCATATAAGTAATACAAGCAAAATCAGTGTATCCTCAAAGGATGGCTCAGCAGACTGAAGTATTTTAAGATTTCTGTACCACTGAAATACAAAGTCAATACTCAACTGGATGGTTTTCCACCAAATATAACCCCACAGTTTTAAAGTAAATTTGATTCTAAAACACACCACTTGTCAAACACACATGCAACTCCTCCAGATTTAAAGTGGGAGCAAAGATTTAGTTATTCCAAATATACCACACTACCCATGGAGCTAAAAGACAAAAGGGTCATGTAAATAAGAACAGACAGTAAATGTCCTTAAACACATGCATGCACACATGTACAAAGTTTTCACAGATCATTCTTGTACTACATTTTTTCACTTATTAAATTCCTAAACATATCTATTTTTGTCTACACTAGTAACAAAAAAACAATACCACAAGAAAATAAGGAACTTATTAATAAGTCATTCGGAATGCTTCAAGCCCCTCAATGCTCCACAATTATTACAATAGGCACATACAGTATCTTTTAAAAGTAAAAATAAACACATTCCATGGTAGTAGGCAATATAAAAAACCTGTTAAGGGTAAGTGTGTGTATATGATTCCAATTATATAAAATGTCCATAGGAGGCAAATTAATAGAGAAAGAAAACAGACTGATGATTGCTAAGGGCTGGGGACTGGGAGAAATGGGGAATGGCTCTAATGGGCACAGGGTTTCACTAGTGTGGTGATAAAAATGTCCTAATATTAACTGTGGTGATGGTACGCAACTAAAAAAAAACCAAAAACATGGAATTGTATACTTTAAATAGCTGAAACTGTATGATAGGTAAATTATATCTCAATAAAAGAGTTACAAAAAAAATTGTATCTCTGCCATTTACCAAGGATATGACCTTGGCCATGTCATTTACCCTCTGAATTTCAATTTCCTCATGTGTAAAATAGGGATAGCACATTCCTCAGAAGAACACACGAATGACTATATTATGAATATAATGACTTAGTAGAGTGGGTATCACATAAGGTTCAATAAAGAGTAATGTTTACAGATTAAATAGACTTATTTGGGCAAGCAAGTTACTTCATAGCAGTCTTAAAAAATAACAGCCAGTCACACAAAAAGCCTAACGTAGTTATACAAATGGTGAGGACAACTATAAACAGTGCCTTACTAATAAGGAATAGACTTTCCCATAATGATATCTGACATCAAGTCAAAACTCAATGAAGACCTAAGCAGAGAGCTGAAAACAAGTTATAACAATGTAGCAGCCAATTGAAATAGAAGTCCATTCTTCTGAGAAATACCAGGACATATTCAAAACCCAGCAAGCAATAAGAACTTACATAACTCTTTCAAAACTATGCTACTGGAACAGAGAGAGACCCCAAAAACAAACTGGTCTACTTCACTGCCCTGATGTGCTAATGCCACAAGAATCTTTTAAAAATATTTAACTGTTACTGACTCACCATTTTCATTCTGGCCATTGCCCTCGTCTAAATTCAAAGTCTGTTTGCTCGAGGTATGTCCCCGCCTTCCAACACAGCATCCTGAAGTAGCAGGAACCATTGTAGAGGGACCTCCATGATTCTGCATCAAAGAGACACACATACACTGTAGTTCTCACTATACAGTCAGAAAAAAAAAAAGCCAGAGGAATGTTTTAAAAGGCACTTAAAAAAACTAGCCTAACAATGTGAACTGATGTTGTAAGAGAACTCCATAATTAAATGTTTTCCATGCACTTTAGAATACAAAACATATGAAGTAATCATCAAGAAAACAGAAAATATCAACCCATACTATATAAGCAAGATTATTAGTCTACCTCTACTCCCTTCTCTAGCAACAGGTGGGAAAAAATGTCTCTTTTCTCATTGTCATTTTCCAGAAAAGTTTCGTTTATTTGTACAAAATCTAAAATTTATCCACATTGCCTTTACTTCAAAAAAATAAATGAAACAAGTAAACAGCTTTTTGAGTAAAGCTTTGATCCACTCACAGGTAAAGTTGGATAAGCAGTCTCATCCCCTTCTTCAACTTCATAAAAAGTAATCGTTTCTTGCAAGCCCCTGGGCATTTGTCCATTCCCTGAAGCAAATCCATACTGGGACTCCTTATTCATACAACTCATCTGGCGGTGACTACGTCTAAATGAACTTAAGTGGTTCAAATAATTAAAAAGTAGAAATGATGAAATATAGTAATCTGTTCCTAATTTACAAATAACAGTTCAAATATCTCAAAATTGACACTTTTAAAACATTAATGTTCAGCAGTGAAATCAGGCTTACCCATTTTCTCTCAACACAATACTTACCGAGATCTGTAAGAGAAGTTATCATAGTTCTGGCAGCACCTTTTACCTGGGCCTGGGTAAAAACCAACTTTAGGGCCCGGCATGTTGTGCCTGTTTATAAACCAAGATGAATTTCTAAGAATAAAGGGACGGGAAAATAGAACTCCCTTTTCACTAACCCTAAGTAGTCAGTCTCTGTAGTCAAATAGAACTAACCTATCTTTCTAAACACATTCAACTAGAAAGAGCTCTGCTCTCTGCAATACTGGCATTAAGACTATTATTAAGGAAATACAATCTGTATGTCACACAGACACTCATCTTGACAGCATTCTATCTTCTTATATCTCTTCAACTGCTTCATATTTCCCTAGACAATGAAAATACAAATCTATCAACGTTTTACCTGGGCATCCCATATCCTCGACCTTGTCTTGGAGATGGATGTTGAGTATGAAAATGTTCATTAGACATAACACTGCCAGCTGTCGAGTAGTGCATTGGAGGATCGTGCCCATAATGCATACTGTGCTGTAGCCTGGGTGGGAGGAGGGGGTCTCCCTTGCCGTAAGCCATAGTCATGTACACTTCTTTCCCTCGAACTTTCTTGAACATCTTCTTCTGTTGCTTCATATCCATCTCTGATATAACTTTCAGGCAAACAAAGAAGTAGCAAATAAGCTTCATAACCAAAGCAGAAGGCCCAGTGTACTGTTACCACCACACTGCCTTAAAATTTCCAATGCTTCCCCTAGGAACAAACCAAATAAACATAGGGAGGGAATTTTTGTATTTTTGAAGGATATGCTAGATCTTTTATTTGGAAGCACAAAACCAACAGGTAATTTCTGTATCAGTAGGTATATCTCGGCACTATCCCCAGTATGGGCAGGTTAGTATAGGGCATCAAAAACACTGAGTTATCCATGGCCGCGCTCATGCCCATAATCCCAGCACTTTGGGATGCTGAGGCAGGTGGATCACTTGAGATCAGGAGCTCGAGAACAGGCTGGCCAATACGGTAAAACCCCATTCTCTACTAAAAATACAAAAACTAGCCAGGCATGGTAGCGTGCACTTGTAATCCCAGCTACTTGGGAGGCTGAGGCAGGAGAACTGCTTAAGCCCAGGAGGCAGAGGTTGCAGTGAACCAAGACTGCACCACTGATTCCAGCCTGGGTGACAGAGTGAGACTCCTTGAAAACAAAACAGTATAAAACAAAAATAAAAATGAAAATACTGAGTCATCCAATCACATACATTACTATTCTCTAATAAATTATGACTGTTAATATCCCTGGCTGCTTCTATGAGGTGTTTTTCTAGTTCTCTAAGAAATATTTTCCCCTGAAGTTTTAGAGTCTAAGATCCATGTCAGCTTAAGTTTTTTAAATTAATTTTTATAAGTGCAGAACAGTACGTTACGGGGTACGTGTAGTATTTTCATACAAGCATACAATGTGTAATGATCAAATCAGGGTAATTAGGATATCTATCACCTCAAACATTTACCATTTCTTTGTGTTGGGAACATTCCAAATCCAGTCCTCCAGTTATTTTGAAACACACAATTATTAACTATAATCACCCTATTACACTACCAAATATTAGACCTTAATCCTACTATCTATTTTTGTACTCATTAACTAATTCCTCTTTATTCCCAGTTCTCATCACCCTTCTGAGCCATCATTCTACTCCTCATCTCCACAAGATCAATTTTTTTTCTTTTTAGCTCTCACATGAGTGTTTAAGTTTACATAAAGTCCCTTAAGAACCATGGCTCTCAACCAGGGACAATTTTACCTCTCCCTCCCCTAGGGAATATTTGGCAATGTCTGGAAACATTTTTGGTTGTCATATTAGGCAGAGGATGCTACCGGCATCTAGTGGATAAGAAGCCAGGGACACTGTGAAGCATCCTACAAGGCACAGGACAGCCCCCCAACAATGAAGTAGTATCCATTCCATTAACAGTAGTGCTGAAATTGAGAAAATCTACCCTACAACAAGACATATTACATACCTTTAAAAAATAGTACAATGTAGGTAAGTTAAAGGGAGTGCATGAAGGGGGGAAAAAAAAAACCTTTAGCATACAAACCTATTTCTGGGATATATCCCCCAGGCATTTTCTGGTAACCTCTTCCTTTACGACTGGGCATAGCATTCCAGGCAGGAAAAGGTATCACTTGGGTAACTGGTTTTAAGTTAGCCAGAGGAACAACGTGCCTTAAAAGTTAAAGGTATCACCATGAAGATATTGCAACACAGATTTAACTCTCATTCAAAATATGTATCCCACCGCTTACACTTCAAGTGTATTCTATTAAAACCTGGTTGACAACAGCTTCCCCTTTTTTTAGGTTAGAAAACCTAAGAGTCGTTTTTACAATTTCACTGCTGTTTCTAGTACGGATCACATTTCAGAAGAAAGATGGTAGACTGTATTAGTTCACACATATTTGCTGTACTTCCTTGGAGAATTATATTCCCCTACCCCATTGACATGAGGCTTGGCAATGTAAACCACTCTGGTCAATAAAATATGAGACATTTTAAGATCCAGAAAATGGTTTGTTATGTTTCATTTTATTCCCTATGACCATGGAAGCACGTGTTAAAATAGAATCTCTGTTAGACCGGATCCCATCCGCTGACCCACTATGGACATGCTAAATGAAGGAGAAAGAACATTATTGTTTTAAGCTGCTGAGATGTTTTGGTTGTTAGTGCAGCATAGCCTCATTTCATGATTCTGAAAGTGGACCAGCAGCATTAGCATCACCTGGAAACTTGTTCAAAATTAAAAGTCTTGGGCCCCACCTCAGATTTACTGAATCAGAAACTTTAGAGACTGGGTTTACTAAGCTGTGTTTTCACAAGCCCTCCAGGTAATTCTGGTGCATGGTAAAGTTTGAGAAAGACTAGATTAGTTTATCTTTATACTGGCAGAGGCTCAGTTAGTAATCCAACTTTCCAGTTACTATGAACAGTTTTGTTTCAGAATTCTATTGTACTTAGTATTTCTAATAAGTAGACTAGTGTCTAAGATTTGAAAACTTTTATACATATCTAACACCTATATTGAGATTTCATACTTCAGCACATGCTTTTATAATTCAAGGTAAGTCACCCTAGGCCAATACCAGATAAAATTCTAATTATCTTTCTAGCATCCTAGTAATTCTCTATTTAATATTACAAAATGGAACCAGGAACCAACGATTTTAGTAATTTAAATTATAATATTCCTACCTTTCTGCCAGTTCTTCAATGAAGACTGTTACTGAATTGTTCTCATTTCCAACTTCCTGGATATGAGCATTATAATATCTTCCATCTGATTCCAAGCAAACCTGAAAAAAGAATACATCTAGTCTCAAGGCTAGTGACAGATATGGCTACTGCCAAACAAAATACCACTTCTTTCCAAATGGGAGTTCAGTGTCTACTTTTTAAAGTTATTCATATCAACACTTCCAGTCTGGATGCATGGAGGTAGCACATACTGCAAGAACCTTACATCTAATCACCAAATTTGTAATTAAAATGTAACACAAACATTAAAAAAACATTTTTTTTTCAGCTGGGTGTGGTAGCTCATGCCTGTAATCCCAACACTGGGAGGCCAAGGTGAGGGGATCACTTGAGGCCAGGAATGAGACCAGCCTGGGCAACACAGTGAGACTCTGTCTCTATAAGAGAAAATAAAAATTAAAGAAATTAGACAGGCATGATGGTACGTGCCTGTAGATCCAGCCACTAGACAGGCTGAGGAAGAAGGATCATTTGAGCCCAGGAATTCATGAGCCATGAGCATCCCACTATATTCTAGCCGAGGCAACAGAGCTAGACCCTATCTCTTTAGAAAAATAAACAAAGCAAAAAAAAAAAAAAGTTTCTAGTACTTTGTAAGTAAGTCTTGCTCAACTCATATTATGACTGCGAGCACATTCTTAAACAAATTACTGATTCTTGAAGAAGGAACTAACCTGACACTTGTCTCCCAAATAGTACTGTCTCCCAGCATACTCCATGTAATCAGATTTTTGAAGTTCTATTAAAAGAAAATGAAGATTCAAGCTCAACTTTACTGGTTCCTTTCCTGTATCATTTAATTTCTCATTTACTTTTACCATAGTGCTTTTGACAGCACTACCATTATAAGTGAATAGAGGGTTAAAGTTCCAAAGGGCCAGTCTTATCATTCCTGATGGGTTATTTCTGCAGCCAATTTAAAGAGACCTTCCAGAATAATTTTGTGCTTTAAAAAATAAATAGCTGGAAATTGGGAGTTTGTAACCTAAGACAGTCAAACACTAAAGAGGTGCAATTTGAAAGTAACACTATTCAGCTTCTTCAAATCAACCTTTTTTTTTTTTTTTTTTTAAACAACTTACTGTGTTTCTCAAGGTCTTAACCTCTCTAGATTGTCTCTATAAGAGACATTAGCTAGGTTTTTCAGGGTTGAAGGAGCTGAATGTGAAATATTAAAGGCTTATCTTGAAGGCAAAACTTTAAGGCCTAGGTTGATCACTTCAGATATCTTACAAGGAGAGAATGACCTATTTCATGGATTGGTAAATTTTTTCTGCAAAGAGCCAGAAAGTAAATATTTTCAGTTTCTTAGGCCATAACTACTACTTAGAACTACTCAAACTCTGCTGTAAAATTTTATGAACACTGAAATTTGAATTATATAATTTTCATGTGTCACAATATGTTATTCTTTTAATTTTTTTCTGCCATTTAAGAATTAAAGACCATTCTTAGCTCATGGACCACACAAAAACAGTTGGTGAGTTAGACTGGCCCACAGCCCTAACCTACTGATTTGTCAAAGAAGGTGTTCGTAACGCATGAAATTTAAGATGAGCCTGTTTTCAGTCATTAAAAGTTTCGTAAGGCTATCTAAAGATTATCTCCACATAGTCTTTGCAAAGTTGAAGTCCCAGGCAAACATCAGACTCTAAAAGATCCCTGCCACTTCTAAAGCTGTGTTCCGTCCTTTGGATTTAAATCATATATGGAGTAATATAAAAAGTACCAGGCTGATTTTACAACAGTATTTAAGAGATGTTCAACATAATTTGCAAAATTAGTCTCCTGGATTCAAAAGTATCCTGTTGATATTTCATTACCTTTTCTGCTGTCCAACCAAACATCAAACTCTACATTACGATAGATTTCTGGATCCAGGGCTTTCAGCACCTTATAAGGGAAGGGCATCTTTGATGGATTTTCTGGAGACTAAAACAAAAATAATCATGCTACAAACTCACAATCCTTAGTCTTCTTTCTATGAAGGAAGAATTAAGGTTCTTTCTTCTTTAAAAAAAAAGTACATGTTCTTTATTAAAACAAGAAATAAATTGCACGATAAATTTTGCCATACATTTTAAAAATCAGGAGGCTATAGTAGTAAAATGCAAGTAACATTCAAGGTTTCAGATGGCAGAGGGAAATAATGTCTAAAGCAGGCAACAACTCAGGACACATCCCATATAAACCAATGCAACACAAACCAGGATTAAAAATTCAAAGCTACTCAGGAAGTGTCATCATGATATACACATGGAGTTACAAGTATTTCTGTACTCTAAAATCCCCTGGAAATATCTGAAGTTTAATTCATTTTGTCAAATCCTGTTAAAATTTCCAAAGAAACTACCACTTTTCTTTTGCTTTCCCAGAATTTCACTATATTCAATACTATTCCAAAATTACAAGCACCTCAGGTATACACAGAGATTACTATAATAGTATTTGCCTTGTTTAGCTAGCCTCCAACTGAAGGCCTTTTTTAGTACCATAGGGATGGTAAAATTTCTCCTGTTCTCCAACTTTAAGCCATGATTATCACCTAGTTTGAACAAAATAAAGATAGGCATTGAATTTCTCCATGAAAAAAATCCTTAGCATCAGAAGACTGATTACAAATTAAATATTGGGTTTGTAATATTTAGCTTAAAAGCATATTACTCCTGAAATTCCTGAAGTGTTTGGTTTCTTCTGAGAAATCTAAAATTCCATAAGAATAAAAATTCAAATAACATTAAGCACACATTTAAATTTAAAGATAGGTAACACTTTCACAAAAGAAAATGACCAACTCTTCTCTCAACCCATATAACTAGAATATACTATCTGACTTTAACTAGTTTAAGTCATGATGCTACAAGCCAAGAGAATGAAAATTCTTTGTCTTAGAAAATATCAAACCTTGGTTTCTTCTGTTCCTTTATTGCAGCCCTCTGGTATATTTTCAGCATTGCAGCAGGCACCCCACTCTTCCATTCTAATTCAAAAGATGCAGAGCAAAGAGCTTTTTATAAATGTAGTAGTTTCTTATCTTAAGCCTAACAACTACACCACCACCTAGTGGTAAATTAACTCAGTTCTAAAAATGAGGCCAATGCTTTCTCATCCTAACATTTGCATTTAGGGTTCCTTTTTCTAAGTATGTGCTACAATATATTTAGCAGATTACCTCCTATATTTTACAACTCCTGTGAGGACACACTTGTAAGGTTATCCCTATAATCCTTGCCTCATCCATTTTACTGGTCTCTCCTCTGCTGCCTATAAGAAAGCAAGCAGCCATGTTCACCACTACAATGTAGAAAGGAGCTGAGGGTTACTTGTGGCCAACTGACAGCAAAAACTTGAAGCTCTCAGTCCTATAGCTCAAAGGAACTGAATGCTGCCAGGTACCATGAATGGGGAGGAGGATCCTTCCTCAGTCAAAGCTCCAGAGAATAACTCAGTTCTGATCAACATCCTCATTAGTCTTATGAGACACTCAGCAGAAGATCCAGCTGAGCCATGACCATATTCCTAATCCACATAAATTGTGAGAAAAGTGTGCTGTTTTAAGTTGCCAAGTTTGTAGTAGCAGTGTTACACAGCAATAGATCACTAATACACCTTGACTTCTTCATACTGTAGTTCCCATAAGCCTAAAGTCCTTAAGACAAGTAATCAGAAGTAATCAGTGAAGAACGAAGCAATCTTTACCCTAATACCAGGTTGCCACTCCTGGCAGTCCCAAATAAGCTTTAAAAACTCTCCCTACCCCCCTCACACACACATACACCAAAAAAAAAAAACAAACAAACAAACAAAAAAAAAAACACTTGGAAGCTTTAAACATCCAAGAAATAGAAATGCAAGACAAAAATCACAAGGTGACATTTAGCTAGCACCAAACCTATCTGAATTTGCAGGCAGAACTAGGAATCAGAAGAAATATAAGACATCTACTTTATTATCTCAAACCCAAAGTGTTCAACTAGAGCTGCTGAATAGTTGTTTCCCCAGAAGCACACAATGTGTACTCATAGTGCATACCAAAGGCAGATACGCAAACACTCCTAAAACTTAGACAGAGATTTTCTACTAGCTGAATGTGTCAAGTAACCAATGAACCTCAGTTGTCATCTAGAAAATGATGGTGCTACTTTAGAATCCGTATTTTCTCAAAGTATGGTCCATAGCCTGCCTACATCAGAATGCTTAGGCACACTTGCTTAAAAAAGATTCCTGGTCCCATTCTGACCTCAAATTTTGTGACAGTAGTCCCAGGAATCTGTCTTTCTGATAAACACTTTAATTCTTTTTTTTTTTTTTTTTTTTTTTGAGACGGAGTTTCCCTCTTGTTACCCAGGCTGGAGTGCAATGGCGCGATCTCGGCTCACCGCAACCTCTGCCTCCTGGGTTCAGGCAATTCTCCTGCCTCAGCCTCCTGAGTAGCTGGGATTACAGGCACGCACCACCATGCCCAGCTAATTTTTTGTATTTTTAGTAGAGACGGGGTTTCACCATGTTGACCAGGATGGTCTCGATCTCTTGACCTCGTGATCCACCCGCCTCGGCCTCCCAAAGTGCTGGGATTACAGGCTTGTACAACTAAAGTTTGAGAACCATGTAATTAGATAGTTCTGAAGTTTCTTCTAGCAATACAAAATGACTTGAACAAAACCCCCAAAGTCTGGGCATCTCACAATACATCTGTTTTGGCAAAACTCTCCCCCCATCAAAAATATATATCCTACAAGCCGGGCGCGATGGCTCAAGCCTGTAATCCCAGCACTTTGGGAGGCCGAGGCGGGTGGATCACAAGGTCAAGAGATCGAGACCATCCTGGTCAACATGGTGAAACCCCGTCTCTACTGAAAATACAAAAAATTAGCTGGGCATGGTGGTGCGTGCCTGTAGTCCCAGCTACTCAGGAGGCTGAGGCAGGAGAATTGCCTGAACTCAGGAGGCGGAGGTTGTGGTGAGCCGAGATCGCGCCATTGCACTCCAGCCTGGGTAACGAGCGAAACTCCGTCTCAAAAAAAAAAAAAAAAAAAAAAAAAAAAAAAAATATATATATATATATATATATATATATATCTCCTTAATATATGCATATGTGTGAATACGTAATCTAACTGACAAGTTTGCCAGGCCCCTTCTACTTTCAAATAATTATGCACGGAAGTTTGAAACATAATTATGATGATATCCCTTTCCCTTCATTACCTATTCTGATTTGAACTCTTGTAGACAGTATGGGCATCCTCACTCCCAGTCACAGCGTTATTTCTGTTCCTCTTAGAACTACTTCGAAACAATTTAATCGCAGTTTTCAACTCTTCTTCATCCACAACAAATACATCTTTATAGAGAATTTCATATAATACAGCTGAAGGAAAAATGGCCAAAATTCCAATTGTCAAAATAAGATTTATATTAACTACATGAAAACAGTCATAATCCTATGTGCAAATTTAATAGGTACCAACAAGTCTTTAAAGGGGCTATTCATGGTAGGCCCCTGAAATTAAAGAGTGACAAGTCATCTGAAATTACACCCAAAATTTATAAAGCCTTCACATACCCTGACAAACAGCTGCACTTGACTGAAATTGTTTTGAGTACACAGAATCATAGTGACCATTACTTGAACAGCAGAGCAGAATCTAAAGAAAAACACACAGAATAATTAAGTGAATGTTAATACATCTTAAAACCATGAAATTAAGATGTTAACTTGAAACTGAGTCAGTAGGCAGCGATTGATAACTGAATTTATTTTTTAAAAGTGATTTTTAAAATCTAAATATAAGGAAATGTAACCTGTATCTCATAATGATTTTCTTGGCAGTGACTTTTAAATGCCAAAATTAAAATCACTACTAAGGTTACACTGTGAGCCTCAATCACATTACTTTAATATACCAAAAAAGTCCCGATTTACAAATTTGCAAAATAAAAAAACAAACACTTAAGAAATTGAGTTACTGAATATAACAGAAAGACTAACAGATGCCAAAAGACTCAGCTAACTTCTAAGAATGACTGGAGAAATTAGGTCAAATACTCAAATACTCTAAACTCAGACTAAGGGAGGAAAGGGATTTTATTTAATTATTTTAAAAGTTATCCATTTAATAGCAATATATCAATACACCATATAGCATCAATACTGCTAGAGACACTTCCTCAATGAACTAAGGCACATCTCAGGCTACAAAAATGAGAGTTTAAGGTCTTAGCTGATTCCTTGAATTCCTAGGGTTGTTTGTTTTTTTTTTTTTTCCCAAAACAATTAAAAGGCCATGCTTGTTAAGCAAAATTTGTTCATTCAAATTGTTGCATGTGATGAAATTTACGTAACTGTTCCAAAATTTTCTGAGTCTTTGTTTAAAAAAAAAAAATCTGTCTTAGCCAGGTTGGATAGCGTGTGCCAGTTAGTCTCAACTACTATGGCAGGAGAGTCACATGAGCCCAGGAATTTGAAGCTGTAGTGTGCTATGACCTCACCTGTGAATAGCCACCACACTCTAGCCTAGGCAACAGAGTGAGATCCCTATCACTTAATAAAAAAACAAAAATTCTGTTTTACATAAGGGATATGATCCCTAGTAATTAAGTTTCTTCCATTTTGAAGGTATCACAAACTGAGTTACTCAAGACGATTCTGCAATCTGCGAAAAGATGCTGCCACCGAGCCTCCTTGGCAGAAACAATTATCCTAAGCATTCTTTTTTTTTTTTTTTTTTTTTTTTTCTATCTTCCTACTCTTCCCTGGGCTAACTTCTCCCAAAGATCAAGTTATTTAATCCCAGGTCTATTATTTTTCACTTGTCTTTTTGGAAATCACACTTATTAACTCTAAGAAATGTTAATAACTAGAGACAGTTTTGGTGGGAGAAACTTACAACTTAAGTTGTAAGTTGTTAAGAAGCAGTTAAGAAGTAAAGGAATCCAGTTAACCAGAACTGATGAATAAGCAGTTCTTATAGAAAGAAAACAGCCAACCATATAATTTCTCTATTCAGGTGACAAGAAGTTCCATTTTGACTGGAAGAGGCAAAACAAGGCATGATAGCTTTTATGTTTCTGGTGGTATTCCAATGTGAAATAATAATTCTCTCATACATACTTGTGGGTGGCTTGTTTGGGAGTGGGCAGGTGGGATATAATTAATGACAGTAAACTAGTGAAAAAATGGGATAGATCTATATTACTGAGAAGGATATTTAAAAAGAACAAGTAACAATGTTACATATGAGTCCATCTACATTTAAAAGACAAACACAAAGAGAATGATACAGAAAGATAATCACCAATATTTAATAGTTTGTTACTTTTAAGTACTTGAAAACCAATACTTGTTACTTTTAAGTACATAAGACGGAAGAAGATGAATGGGGACTTTCTTATTCTACATTTCCAGATCTACTTTTTATTTTGCTTTTAATGTAAGTATGTACTTCTATCTAAATAAAGTGAGCTGAGTGAAGAGGGCTCCATTTCAGTAGCATTCATTTTAATACTGAATACACTTAAGAAACTGAAGATAACTATGTAGAATGCAGAGTTAAGTCAACACAGAAGGTGAAAGATACCGAAGTGAATATTAGGCATTTATTTCTATGAAAGTTTGTTCTAAAATATTTTAGAAGGTTCATTAATAATGTTCACTACCTATAATAAAGTCATTTTTACTTATTTATTTATTTTTGAGATGGAATCACTCTGTCACTCAGGTTGGAGTGCAGTGGTACAATCTCAGCTCACTGCAACCTCTGCCTCCCAGGCTCAAGAGATTCTCCAGCCTCAGCCTTCCAAGGATCTGGGATTACAGGCATGTGCCTCACGTTCGGTTAGTTTCTGTATTTTCAGTAGAGACAGGGTTTCACCATATTGGCTGGATTGGTCTCAAACTCCTGACCTCAAGTGATTCGCCCTCTTACGCCAGGATTACAGGCATGAGCCACCACACCCGGCCTCATTTATAACAACTCAATCCTAACACCAATCTTAAGAGTGTGAACTGAGATAAAGCAGCAAAGTTTTAGGTAAAGCCAAGTATCACAAAATAAAAGCACTGGCTTTTCCATACTTATATTTCAATACAAGCCCCACCCCCCATTTATAAATTACCAAATCAGACATATATAGGCATTATCCTATATATGCAAATACCCAAGTGCTGGTAAGTTTTAGCTCTGTATACACATACGGATATTTGTTGGTTTTACACACTTAAAAGGTCTGACATTTTTGTATTCTCATGGGTCCCAATAGGTAATGTTCCCCTAGATTAGCTAAATAATGTCTCTGTAAGATATACAAGACATTTTAAAGTGGAATTGTATAACTGCAGGAACTAAGTGGGAGATATATGGATGTTCACTACAGGAGTCTTTAAACTCTCTGTATGAAAAATTTCAGAATACAATGCTGGGGGAAAAAAACTGATCTGAAAGTTTAAAGATCCCTGGTAAAGATTCAAATTTCATCTCAAGTAATTCTGTGTACAACTGCTTAGATAAAAAAGCTAACACTCCTCTTCTTCAAACAATTCAGATTATGTCACACCTTGGCCTAAAAACTTTCCATTAGTGTTTAGGGTCAAGTGTGCTGGTGTCTGAAATTTACTTTAAACTACATCAAAAAAGAAAAGTGAACTGTTGAATGGATTGAGGAATAAATATGTGATACTACTAAGATGTTAACAGCAGACTCTAGGTGGTGGGTAGGTATATAGATGCCCACTGTAAAATTCTTTTAACTTTTCTGTATGCTTGAACACAAAATGTTGGGAAAAGTTTTAATTGACTATTCTGTACAATGAAAAAACAAGTTATTTGGCATGACCTGCTCTACCTCTTACTATGTAACTCTGGCCTATCTTTCCAGCATCACCCTTCTGACACCCAGCTACTTAAGTCCCAAAAGGTCTCTTACTTCCATGCCCCTGTATATAGTATTTCCTCTGAATAGACTGCTCTTCATATCTGATGGACTCTTTTATACTCCACTTAAATGTCACTACCATTATGAAACTTTCTCAACTACCTCAAGCAGAAAGAAGGGTTTCTTCCTTTATGCTTTTAGTACAATTTTTTTTATTATAAAACATAATACTTTGTTGTAATTAAACCTTTCCAGGTCTGTCTTCATTGCCCCTTAAGCTCTTAGAGGGCAAAGATTTCACTGTATTCATTTTGGTGTCCCCAAAGCTCAGAAAAGAGATAATTAATGTACCCTATTTATACTTATCCTCTAAGTTATTTCCCACTCAGTCTTTTCTATTCCTAATGCTACTTCTCCTTAGCTCATTTATTCCCCCTCAATTATCGTAACAGCATCCTAACAGTTCTCCTGATGTCTAGTCTTGTCCTGTCATCATTTAAATGTTGTCTAAATTGTGTTCCATGGTGTGAAATAAGACTTAAAAAACTCAAACATTGTGTAGTCTATATTTCACTAATCAAATAATCAGGATAAAGGGCTTTTCTTTTATAAACTTTTTGGAGGAGAAGCTGTATGGTGAAAAACAATTTGTCTGCTGAGTATTTTCAAAAACCAAGTACTTTACCAGGCAGTAGACACTGTCACTTTCCTCAAGAAACTTTCGGATAATGAAATAAATACATATAAAAACAAATATAATATAATAAATATTACAATTACTTGGGAGCTGCTAGGGGAGCACAAAGGGAGAAAATGACTCAAGGGGCATTGGGAAAGTTACAAATACAAAGACACAAAGAGTATGAAAGGCAGAATATCTGGAAGCACAGCTTAAGGATGGAAGACAATGAAGCTGGTTTGGGACCTTTCAGGATGCTGAATGCCTAACTTCGAAGATTGAACCTGATCCTTTTTAGTCATTGAGGAGCTAATTAGGGTTTTGGGTGGCTTTTTTCCTATCACAGAGAAGTGACAATCGGATCTGTTTAGAGGGATAACACTGAGAATAACTGACTAGAGAGGAAAAGGCTAGTGACAGAGAATCTTGTCATTCAGACTATGCTTTTCATTAATTAGGTTAAAAATGATTTCTTAATATCCTGGCAACCCAGAAGCATCATTCAACTTCTTTTATATAAGTCAACATTTACTCATCTTCTTACCTTGTCTTCATAGCCATTATCTGTGACATAAGTTGGAGGTTTTCCAGGAAAGCGATAAAGAATGAAATCCCGACTACATGGGGAAAACAGAGGTAAGTGGCAAGACATAATTTGGTATATATAAGAGATAGTTTATACACACAAGTATTTGTGCTTTTAAATTGCTTACCTTATTCATATAAAATAATATAAACATCTGGTTTAATGTTTGGCTTTAAAATAATCCAAAAAGGCTAAATGACATTAATTCAAGGTAGACAGCTAATTACCCCTAAAGTCCTATGGATTTTTTTTTTTTTAACATATCTTAATTTGGGAGGAGGAGGGGTAAACACAACAAATTATCAATTGTATGTATCTCTGTGAGTTAGGGGATGGTGGTGCTCTTTATTTAAAGCAGGGATTGGCAATTTTTTGGCAAAAGGCTAAATAGGCATTCCAGCTTTTGCATATCATATGGTTTATTCAACTTTGCTTTTGTAGCATGAAAGCAGTCACAGACAATGCATAAGTGAATGAGCATGACTGTGTTCTAATAAAGCTTTATAGACACTAAAATTTGAATTTTATATTTTTCCATGCCATGAAACATTCTTTTGACTTTTCAACCATTTAAAATATGTTAACACTCTTTCTTAGCTTAGACTTCTTCATTCTATATATCAATGCATCAAATCTTAAATTTCCGCAATCCTGAGAGACCTTTAATTGAGATCTTATACATACATGCATGCACACATCCACTCTCAAAGAAAGAGGATATAACTTACTTATAAATGAGAGAAAGTGCTCTTATTTCCAGCTGGCCAGCAGTTTCCTGAACATAAATAGTACGTAAAGTTTTAAAAAAACATTCTGTAGCTAGGAGGTAGTTTTTTTCAAGTTCAACAAATTTTTAGCTGCTTAGCGCTGTTTTAGATGAAGAATTTATAGAACACACTATAACCTGTTTTGAGGCTTGGAATACTGTGATAGCCACTCATTAACTTAAACTTGTCCTGAAAAAAGGGACCTAAAGCCCTACTTAGCCATTAAGTAATAAGGACAGGTAATATGAGAGATTTAAAAAACATAAAAATGGATAAAAAGGCAGTATAAAAAAGTCAGCAGGGATTTAGTAAATGTGTTTTAAGTCCAGAACTATGGAATTAACTTTAAGACATAAAATTATTTCTAAATGAAGTATGCATTTATGAATTTTAGTCCCACATAAAAGGAAGACAACTACAAATCAGGGGAATTGTCTAATAAAAAAAAATGACCTCTTGGTAAAATTCATTACCACCCTCCTCCCCCATTAAAGTGAAAAGGCTTAAGCTTGTCCTGTTTCCAAGTAGTGTATACTCTTTTGCTAGTCTATGGTTGATGAGACTGTTAACACACAATCATCAATATTCAACACCAAACAATAGGTCAATTGCCAGCCTCTAAACTTATGGAAGAAATATTGGATTCAACACAGCTGGCTACTAAAGAAAAAAACTTGGTGTATGGCTAAAATGATACAGCTGAATGAATAAATTTACATTACTATTCCAAATAACTCTGAAAAAATTAAACCCCCGTATTTGATCTTACCTTGGGATCTCCTAACCGTTCCAGGTATTTCTCAAAAGATCCCTCCACATCCTTCAAAAATAAAACAAACTCGACTTAACCAAATATACAGCATTACTGAAGTCTGATTATATTCTGCAATATTATCCTGCAATGGGTTCTTTGCTCAGGTCAACAATTATGGTAGTAAGTTTCTACTCTGCACAGCACCTCAAGAAGATTTGCACATACACAAAAGTCATGAGGGCAGAAAAGCTAGAGTATAAAAAGTATCTTAGGAATTGGTCCTGGCATATCCACATACCAGTGCATTTCATCAAATGGTATGCTTTTGAGTTTCATTTGAAACACCAATTTAAGTGATAATTTTCATAAATCAAGCAAGACCAGTATCTCTAAGAATTTCAAATTTGAATAGACACGCATTTACAAAATTAAACTGAGAAACTTTAAAGAGAATTTCATTAGTTTCAAAAAAGACCATGGGACAAGGGAACTTTTTAGGGGTGATGGAAACATTCTCTACTTTGATTCTGGTGGTAGTTCTATGATTGCATATCATCTACAAAACTAAAAATGCCAAACATAAAATGGTGAGTTTTATTGTATGTAAAATATGCCTCCATAAAAATGAAATTAAACTAAGGGAATGTAACAGATTTATTTCTAATTCCAAGCATGCATTATCACCAGACTTATAAAAAATAATTTAAATATATCTATTTTGTAAGTATCTTTGCACCCCTCTATAACTGATACATAATCACTGATCTGCTTTCTGTCACTACAGATTGCCTTGTATTTTTTTCTAGAGTTTATATAAGGGAAATTAAACAGTATAAACTTTGCAGGGGGTCTGGCTTCTATCACTTAGTATTAAGTTGAGATATGAATCTCAATTATTTAGTTTTAAAATTTTACACACATCTTTGTTACTCAAAATGCTGTCCACAAACCAATAGCAAGCATTACTTCAGAGTTTGTTAAAAATGCAGAAATCTCCACTGAACACAGTGACTCACACTTGTAGTCCCAGCACTTTGGGAGACCAAAGCGGGGAGATCACTTGAGCCCAGGAGTCCAAGACTAGTCTGGGCAACATGGTGAAACCTCATCTCTAATAAAAACACAAAATAGTTAGCCCAGCAAGGTGGTGGGCACCTGCAGTCCCAAGTTACTCGGGAGGCTGAGGTGGGAGGATTGCTTCAGCCTGGGAGGCGGAGGGTGCAGTAAGCCATGATCCCGCCACTGCACTCCAGCCTGGGCAACAGAGTGAGACTTCGTCTCAAGTCGGGAAGAAAAAAAGAAATCTTGGGCCCCAACTCAGACCTACTGAATCAAAACCTGCAGTTTAACAAGATCTCCAGGTGATTTATATGCACAAAAATACTTAAGACGCATTGCTTTACACTATGGTCTTGCATTTGAAGTAATGTTACTAATAATCCTTTCCCCAGGTGTAGAGAGGACTAAACTCAGCTTCAGGGTAACAAGCTTTTAAGTCAAGAAGTCTTCCCATAGTTTTAAAATTCACTGAAACCTGTTGAGAAAATTAAGAGTAAACCTCGAACAGTAGGCAAATACTCATAATAAACAGAAGAAACGAATGCACTAGAAGGACCAGAAGCGTTTTGTTTTTTTTGTTAGAGCCACGCAAAAGGAAGCCTCCAATTTTGTTAACAAGAATTCAAATATATGAAGGTGTACAAATATGTCTTCTAAGTTGTACCTAAAGTTAATCATTAGTGGCAGAGCTCTAATTATACAATTTGTCACACGGAAAGACCAGATACTTGGACTCATTTGTTCCCTTACAGTAAGTTTTACAAGATTCCTCAAATTGACTGGCTGAAGATTACTGTACAAAGGATTAAGCAAGAAAATAGAGGGTGTTCCCAATTGCATATCTTTTAAAATATGCATTGCAAAGTATTAGCAGAGCCAACCCTTTCATGAACTATTAATTGTTCAACAAAACTGTATGGATAATATAAAACAGCAATCAAAATGTAACTTTTTAGGGTCTGGAGTTCTTGGTATAGAAGGTAAGTAGTAGGAAAATGTAGATTATTCTTCATTTTTAATTAGAGTCCTAAACATCTTAATTCTAGGAGAGTCCAGAAGCACATTAGCTACTGGGAAGGGAGCCAGCTGGGAATTAAATATTTGCTATTGAGGAGACTGCATGATACAATTTAATTTTGGTAGGTGCTCATAATTATTTTCCCACCTGCTACATACTTTACCAACAGCTCTCCCAGGGTATGTATTCTACTTACAGACTCAAAAGTTTGTTGATTTTCCCTCATATATGAGACACAAGCTTTCCTGATTTCCAAATGATGGACCTGGCTGCAAAATAACTAAAGAGAAGAGAAAGACCAGTCCATTGTCAGTAGTCCTTTAAAAGAGGTACTTGTAAATCAAGACTATGAACTGAACACTTGAGCCTTCCTTATTCAGAACATATGTAGGAAATTGGGAAATTAAATCCTTATCTTACTAAAAGTTTTTTAATATCATCTTCAGTGTAATTGGGGAGCAATGGCTGTCATGCCCCATCCCCTTTTCTACTCCTTATGTGCACAGCCTGTAAATTTTTTCCTAGGCATTAACAATAGAGGAAGCAGTTACAAAGTATCAAGATATATTTCAGTTTTCTTTAGTCCCCTTATCTTACCCCTCCTACATTACAAACTGGCATTTAAAAAACAGAAACGATAGCAAAAGTACAGCAACATATTTAGACTAATCAGCAAAGGCATGCACCAAGATAACAAGAAGCAAGCAGCTTCTCTCCAAGACCTGATAGGCCTGGAAGTTTTCACTAGCAAACAGAAAAGGGAAATTTTTTTCTTTTGGCAAACTACAGGACCGTGCCATGTCTCAAACTCCAACAACTTAGTACAGGGAAGATACATGTTTTCCTTTTACCTGCTCCGAAATAGCCCGAAAGAGGCAAGAGGCATCCTTGGCAGTCAGCTTTCGAAACAGCCCCAAGCTGCCTAAATATTCATCCATTGATGCCTCATTCAAAGACTTGTGGCTGTAGTAGTTTTTCCATCCTTTATGCATTTTGTACAGGGTTGGGGTGAGAGGCACAGGGAAAAAAGTGTGGCAAGATGGAAAAAGTAGGGTGCAGGGAGGATGGGCAGCAGTGACAAGAGCTTGCTTATGCAGGTATCCGGAAAGCAGCCCAAAGTCTAGGCCTGAGAAGGCAGTTGAAGTCAGCGCTGCAGAATCTTGGCACTTCTCAGGAGCAGCAGCAATGGACTTGGCTTGCTCAGGACAAGTCGGGATCCTGTGAAAAGAAGAGGAAAAGCCAATCCTCCTAGGAATAGGGAACTGAACTGAGGAGGAGACATGGGAGGGAGGGAGAAGGTGCTTAGAGTTACCTCCTTGGGGAAGAGTAGGATTAACCCAATCAGCCCAAGGTTGAGAAAAGTATGCATAAGCAGCTGAGCTTTGGGACTAGAAGGAAACTGACTTTGCAGCTTAACTCAGGGCAACTGCTGCACGAGGCTGAAAAGGGACTACAATAAGGCTCAGGTGTGTAGGATGCAGCCTGGTTTGTTACATTGCGTTAAGATCTCTAGCTAAATTTTCAACTATAGTCTCTGCCCAAATTCCCAGCTCCTTTCATAGTTTCAGGGAAACATGAAGGGACAGAATCTTCACGAACCTAGTTAACCAGTGAGCATTTTCATTAATATCTTTTTAATACACATACAAAAAAGGAGAAGGAACTTCCCTTAATCTATAGTGGCAGAGGGCACAGTTCAAGCTAACTGCCAAAGCAATTGCCTGAATATTTAAGATATAGGGTTGAAGTAATGTTCTCATTTAATTCTAGATAATATTCTCTGCCAGGATCACAAAAACTAAATCTTAGTAGCCATGCTGGTGAACCCTTATACAGTTCTTGACTAATGCCTCCGAAGTATTATATGGCACCAATAAAAAGGAAAAATGCAAAGAAAATGTGTTTCTTTAAAAATGTAAATAATTTAAATGGAAGCAGCCTGAAAATATCCACAAACTTTCTAATAGACTACATTTAAAATATTATGGTACAGTATGAGATGAGTTGGACAATGAGAAATGTGTTTCAATGTTTTACTAGGGTACTTCTCCAAAAACATTACTCTGGATTATTCAAAAACCAAAGAAAATATTAAGTGCCAAAGGCAGGCCCAATCACTTGTATTATTTGTTTCCATTATCTATACTATCTAGTGTCTTTCATTTTTATTAAAATGCAAAAATCCAATTCCTTACTTTTTTTTTTTAAGTATTAAAAAAATAGGTCAAAAGCTGGCTTTGCAGAAGGCACACATTAAGCTGCTTCAAAAAAAAAATTTTTTTTTTTGTATCTGTGGAGCCAGTAGTAATCATGACTGCCCCTTCTAGGAAAAGCAGCAATATTTTATAATTTAGGAATTAAATAATGGTTGACATGGCATCTTGACTTCCTTAGCCAATTTGAAATTACTGTAACTAATTTCTTTTTTTTTTTTTTAAAAAAAAAGGTCTCATTCTGTCACCCAGGCTGAAGTATAAGTGCAGTGGTGTGAACACAGCTGACTGCAGCCTCAACCTCTTCGGATCAAACAATCCTCCCTTCTCAGCCTCCCAAGTAGCTAGAAATAGAGGTGCACACCACCACACCCGGATGATTTTTGTATTTTCTGTAAAGACAGGGTCTTGCCACATTGTCCAGCTGGTCTCAAATTCCTGAGTTAAAGCTATCCTCCCATCTTAGCTTCTCAAAGTGCTGGGATTACAGGCATGAGCCACCATGTCCAGCCACTAATTTCTTTTTTAAAAAAACCTTAGAAAAGTGATGCCTTTCACAAAAGTTCTGAAACATACTGTTTGGGAAGAGGGATTACCACCTTTCATTATGCCCTCTAATTCCATGAGAAAAACTAATTAAAGGTTACAATTTAAAAATGTTTGTTTCCAGTATATTGTACCTGTAAAGAAAAACACAAATGCTTCACATCTACAGCTTTTTAAATGAAAATTAAGTATGGTATAAAAAACAATGCAATCTAAATGCTTCATTTTGAGGAAGGGAATGGGGGAAGGGAAAATCAGGAGAGGGAGGGAGAGAATCAGAAAAGTAATAGGAGAAAACTGAAAAAAAAAAAAACAAACAGGGACAGGAAGACAAAAAGATATAGAGCAAAAGAAAAGTAATACACAGGGTAGCACACAGAAGTAGACCCACACAAATATGGTCAATTGATTTCTGACAAAGGTGCAAGATCATTTCAGTAGAGAAAAGATAGCATTTTAATCAAATGGTGCCAGAACAATTGACCATCCACATGCAAAAAAAGATCCCCAACCTATACCTCACACCAGGTACTATAATTAACTCAAAGGGGAACACAGATACAAATGTAAAACAAAACTTCAATATTTTTAAAAAGAAAACATAGGAGAAATCTTTAAGATCCAAAGTTGGGCAATGAGCTCTCTGATACATCATAAAAGAAAGAGAATTGACTAACTGGATTTTATCAAAACTAAAAACTTTTGCTCTGTAAATGACATTGTTAGAAGAATGAAATACAAGCCATAGACTGGGAGAAGATATTTTTACATCACATATCTAACCAGAAAAAACTTTGTAACAAAATATATAAAGAACTCTGAAAAGACAACAATAAAAAAAAATCCGATTTCTTACATTGACAAAATATTTGTATACACATTTCATTAAAGATATAACAATGGCTAATGAGCACAGAAAAGATATTCAAAATCACTGATCTCTAGGAAAATAAAAATTAGAACCACAATAAGACATCATTACAAACCCACCAGAATAGCTATAATAAATAATACAGACAATAACTAGCATTAGCAAAGATTGGAGAAACTGGTCCTAAGCTGCTGGATGCAAAAACTGTATGATTCCAAAAGTAATATGATTCCATTTACAAGAAATATGCCAAAAGGGCAAATCTAGATACAGAAAGCAGATTAGCGACTGCCCAGGGCTGGAGTGGGAATAGCCACTGACTACAAATAAACACAAAGAATCTCTTTGGAGTAATAAAAATCTTCTAAAACCATTTTGTGGTGATATGTGCATAATTCTGTATATTCACTAAAAATTAAATTGTACTCTTAAAACTGATAAATTTAACAGCTTTCAGATGTGTCTCATACCATATAATTTTCCCACTTAAAGTAGACAATTGGATTTTTTTTTGTATATTCAGAGTTGTGCATCCTGAACCATACATAATCAACTTTAGAACATTCTCTTTACTCCCAAATCGACATCCTGCATCCTGTAGCTGTCAACTTCTAATCCCCTTATCCCCACCAACCCCAGACAACCACTAATCTACTTCCTGAATCTGGAGATTTCCCTATTCTGAATATTTCAAATAAGTGGGATCTTAAAATATGTGGTCTCGTGTGACTCACTTCTTTTACTTAGCATAAGGTTTTCAAAGTCCACTCATGTTGTAGCATGGTGCATCACTACATATTTCAATCCACTGTATAAACCAAAATTTGTTTATCCATTCATTAGTTGATAGAAATTTGGGTTGTTTCCACTTTGGGGCTATTATAAATAATATTTCCATAAATATTCACATATAAGTTTTTGTTTGGACATAAGTTTTCAATTTTCTTAGGTATACACCTAGGAGTGGAGTTACTAGATCATAGGATAACTCTAGGCTTAACCATGTGAGAAGCTGTCAAACTGTTACTCACAGCAACTGTACCGTTTTACATTCTTACCAATAGTGTATGAGGGTTCCATTTTCTCTACACCTTATCAATACTTGTTATTTTCCATCTTCTGATTACAGTCATCCTAGTGGGTGTGAAGTGGTAGCTCACTGTGGTTTTGATTTTCATTTCCCCAGTGGCTAACGATATTAAGCATCTTTTCATCTGCTTATTGTCCATTTGTCTATCTTTAATGGGATACCATGACATACATCTTAGAATAACTAAAATAATTTTCTTTAACCTGATAATACCAAGTGTTGAAAAGGATGCAGAACAACTGGAACTATCATATGTTGCTAGTGGGAACGTAAAGTAGTGCAACCACTGTGGAAAACAGGTTTAGCTGTTTCTTACAAAATTAAACAGAATTACCATATGATCAAGCAATCCACTTCTAGATATCCACACAAGAGAAATGGTAACACAAAAACCTCTATGTAAGTGTTTATAGTAGCTTCATCATAAGCTCTGAAAACTGGAAACAATCTAAACATTTTTCAGCTGGACAAAAACTGTGGTACATTCAAACAATAGAACACTTCCCAGGAATAGAAAATTTAAAAATATTGATACATAAAAAAACATGTATCTCAAATGTGTCTGAGAAGTGACAAAAGACAAGGTTCAAAAGGCCACACACTGTATGCCTGCATTTATATGACATACTGAAAAAGGCCAAACCATAGGAAGGGAAAACAGATTAGTTTTTGCCATAAGATAGGGTTGAAGAGAAGGATTGACTACAAAGAGGAAGGATAAATGAGGGCAGTGGAATTGTTCTGTATCTCAACTGTGGCAATGGTTACATGATTATGTATTTGTCAAAACTATAGAACTATATAAGAAAACGGCTAATTTTACTGTATTTAAATTTAACAGTAAATAAAACAAAAAGGAGAAGAAATATAACAGAGTTGAAGAGCTCAAAGAAGAGTCAACAAGATTGGAAAGAAAAAAATAAGAAAATTAGATTATCACTCTCGGAAAGCTAACATCTAACCAACAGGAAGCCCAAACTGAGATGGAGAAAGCAGAGGGTAAGAAATGAAGATGATGATGATGATGACTATGACAACAATATAAAAAAGTTCTAGCACTGTAGAACATGAGTATCCATATTGAGATTGAAAGGGCCCATGAAGTAGCCACAACAATAAAAGCAAAAAAGATCATTAGCCCTATAACAATAAAGTTTCCGAAGTCAGTGGATAAAGAGAAGATCCTAAAGCTTTCAGAGAAGAAAAGCAGTTTATACAGAAAAGATCATAAATAAGAACACCAATATACTTCTCAAAAGAAAAACTAGCATTCAGAAAACAATGAAGCTCCAGATTAGAAAGGAAGTTATTTCCAACCTTTATTTCTATACCAAGCTATCAGATGGAAGAGTAAAACAAGGTGTTTTCAGAAAAAAAAAAAAAAAAAAAAAAAAAAAAATTCAAAAATATAGCCACCCTTTCTCAGAATGCTACTGAAGATATATGAAACCAAAATAATTTTTTTGTAAAGTCGAGGGATGAAAGGGAGCAATCTTGG